ATCGCGAAGTTGCAATAGTTTCATTTTAATCTTTTTGAGCAGGAGTCAGTATATGTTACTTGTATTTACATGGCGCCAGCTAGCGTCAAAAGCGGCTAATAATAAAGTTCTAGCTGAGCTCCCACTTGGCTCAGCTGCAGACAGGTTATTAAACACATTACTCTACTTAATCATCAGAGGCACTAGTCTAAACTTTATGTGGAAAATACTCCAAAGTTGGTTGTCATGATGTTTAATATTTAGGATAACTAGTATTCATTCAGTCACTCGGATGTAGCGTTATTTGTGTCAGTTCTGGTCCATGTGAATAAATGAAAGGCTTTCATTGGTGAAAGATCAATACATACAGTTAGGTCAGTAAGATTTTGAACATTTATCCATCCATCCGTCATCTTCTATTTATATGGAGTTAGGTTGTGGTGTCAGCAGGCTAAGTATTCCAGATATCCTTCCCCACACCCATATTTTCCAGTACCTCCTGAGGTGTTCCTAGATCACATGAGATCTCCAACGAGTTCTGAGTCCACCCCAGGATTTCTTTCTGGTTTATCAGGAAGCATCCTAACATGATGCCCAAGCGACTTTGACCATCTCCTTTTACCACACGGGAGCAGCGTCTCTGCTCCAAAATCTGTTATGCTGAGCTCAGACACTGTATGGAGGAAACTAGTTTCAGCCTCATGCATTTGAGAGCATACCTTGTCTGTCAGATTTCATTACCATCGGTGAGGTCTGGGGCTCAGACTGGTAAATTGAAAAGTTGTCCTTTCTGCTCTCTTTACCATCCCAGCCTCATACAACACACACATTACTGCTGACGCCACACCAATCCATTGGTCAAACTCGTGCTCCACATTACAGATTTAATATTACACTAGTAGTCAGCCAGTATTTAAATTATTATTAGAGTTTTGTGCTTGTTTCGAAATATAACCTGCCTGCAGGAGCTTCACATTATGAAAAGAGATGAACAGAAGAATCAGTATCAGGGTTTTAATGTTACCCACCAGGTTACCCACGTCAGCATAGAGTCTTTCTAATGAGGATTGAAGGCTGCTCTTTTACGTTGAGATGTTATTTATGTTGATTGCAAGAACAATAATATATATTTTCATTTTAGAAAAAGTAAAGAGAAAATTGTTCATTTTCCTTCTTTAGAGTTTGTTTTTAAGATGTTTTGCACTGATGATATTAAGTTTTAAGAAAAGTCTTATTGTCTATTTTTATAGATAAAATTCATATGTAATGTTTCTGTTAGTATAAAATATACACATGCTTATATTTTAACACTTTTTTTCTCTTGATGTCATGTAGTTGCTTCAAACATGTTGGTGGTCTCTCTTGAGGTCTGGCTGTTGTTTTGTCATTATAGAGACAAGTACCGTTTCTATGCCTGCTTACTGCGGGCTCGCTTTGATGAAAACAAGACTGAGAAGGACATGGTGAAGGCCACCATGATGCTAAAGGCAGGAGAGGAGGAATTCTGGACCAACCAACATCCTCAGCCCTACATCTTCCCCGACTCTCCTGGGGGGACCTCATATGAGAGATACGAGTGCTACAAGGTAAAACAGAGCAACCATGACATTATTTCGTACTGCATCTAACTTTCTTTTTTCTGGACCTAACTTCTGGTCTGTTTGAACTAACTGGGAACAATTACAGGAAAACATTTGATGTTAGAAACTTGAAGTGAAAACGCTGGCTGTCCTAATGTTGGATAGAGACGTGTCTGTGAGCTCTGCTTTGTCTCTGTAGGTCCCAGAGTGGGTGCTGGACCACTGGCACCCCTCGGAGAAGGCCATGTATCCTGATTATTTCTCCAAGAGAGAGCAGTGGAAGAAACTGAGGATGCAGAGCTGGGAGAAAGAGGTGGGCAGCAAACATTTACATGCCAGCATTACTTTTGACCTCCTTGTTTAACCTGGTCTCCTTTGCCAATGACAAGAAAGGTGCTACTCCTTGTTTACTGTTCCATATAGCTCAGCTTTTAGACTC